ATGGCCGTGGCTGGATGGAGTCTTAGCAGCCTCACCACCAAGGTATCTCTTAAATAGCAGAAATTAATTGTCACCATTGCCATTTAAAAGTGATTCCATTTTTTTAAGTTTATGTTACTTTAGTTACGGTTCAAGTAAGTCTGCACTTCTTTTCTGCTAGTGAGGGGAGTCAGCATTATTTCTTTTATTTTGTAGTGGAGAGTCATAAAAAACGTGGTTACTCTGAGGCTTCACTGAAAATGCAGAAGAATGTGAAATGAGTGTTCCTCTCTGACCTCTTTGGAGCTTCTTACCAGCAACCAGCTGTCGGATAATACAGATGATGAGTGTGTGCTCTGTGAATGGGGTCAATATTTCCCTAATAGACATATCTCTTTTATGTTATGTGGATGGAGTGCATAGTAAAATTTATGTTTGTGTTTACTTAGAAATTAGAGGTGAAAAAGACACACTGATGAACTCTGTATGGGATTTGGGAACAGAGGGACTGTCATTTGCGGGTGAGACCTCAAAAAGCTGCTGTAGGTGCATAATATCCCATTCTTGATACTTTTTAAAGAGAGATGTGCAGATTATTCTGGCTCACTTGTACTTTTGTACCTCCATCTTCTGTTGCCACTGTTTCTTTGGATATCAGAAATTAATGATAGTAGCAGTCAGGACAGCTTTTCACTAGCTGAAGGTGGTTTGTTTGATGATACTGTCACACATCTGGACACGTTGTTCCAAGCCACCTTCATGGGATACTGGTCTTCAGTACAATTCATAGGGCCTAAGTCCAACCACCAGCCTAACTCTTTTGAATATGCAGACTATCAGTTTCAAACTTCTTCACCTTCAGGAGCAGACCTGTGTTGACACTGAGACTTTACAGAAAAAAGAACCAGTACTTTGGCTGATCATCTCACCACTATGTTTTTTTTAATAAAAGCCGTGGAAGCCGTGCATACTAGATGTCATCACTGGGACTGTCTTTCCTCTGGAATTTGGCCTGAATTCTCGTGTTCTGAAGGTCTTGACTCTAGAGGTTGGGGTTGGGTGCACTGTTCCACTTCTGTATACCTGCTGATATAATTTAGCAAATCTGTCATTCATGCTCAATATAGCAGAATCATTTAACTGCAGGTTCTCACCAGTACAATTAACCCTGTTCTGTCAAAATGAAGAGCTGATTATCTTGGCAATCACAGGAGCATAGAGCACAGTTAGAGAGCTGCAGTTTCTGGCCCTCCCGAAGCATTATTGTAGTCAATTGATTATTTTGTTAATTTGTTCTGCATCAGTATCCTGCTGGTTTATTATCATCCAAGTAACTTTATGCTCCATGCGTAACTACAAGTATATTAAAAATCATTACTTGAATCTTTTTTTTTTTTTTTGGCAATCACAGGAGCATAGAGCTCCATGGGCTACCACCTTTGATACATGGCCTTCATTCTGATTATAACACAGCTAGTAAATTTTACATTATTTACTCACATGCTACTAAATAGATGCTCAGATTTTGCTCTCTAAATCCGATATCCTAAAGAAGGAATAAATGAATTAGGAATGAAATAAACAAAAGGTTGTTACTGCTGATAAGCAAGACCAATGTTGAGACAGTAAAATGCATGCTATTTTAGTAAGAAAAATCTCATTCCTTCACTAGTTTCCAATAAGTATTTTGCTTCACAGGCTCAAATAATTGAGAGATGCTCTTATCAGAAGCTTGGGTCTTATGCACACTTGTTTTCCTGCTTCATTTAAAGAAAGAAGTACTTAAAAGGTGGCATGAGGTTGCATTATGCTTTGGTTGAGGACTGGATTCCAGGTCTGAGCTTGACACAAACACAGGGAATTAAGGCTGTTGTAAGATCGGAATGCTTTTTTGATGATTTTCTATCGCTGCACATGCAAAGATGTTCTTTATTGTATGTGTTCTTGAAACACATTACCTATGATGTGATATTTAATGCATTTATGTCACTGATGTCACAGGGAGGCCTGCTCTTCTTCAAGAGAAAAACCATAAGATAGAAGCAGAATCAGATGTGGTCCCTCTCCTGATCTAGACTAGATATGTAAGCACAAGTTTCCAGCTCTGGAAGAACACCATTTTTCTAATGTAGATATCCAGCTGGAAGGAAGACTAGGATTCTCCTATATCTCCAGCCCCAAATGGGCAGTTCTCCACTCAGATCACTGGGTTTGCATTTTAGCATTTTCCAGTGATATGTTTGTTCTACTGGGAATTTTTTGTCTTCTGAAATATATGGAGATTATCTGATCTCAGGATCATTGCTTTCTAGATGTTCTCATTGGGAGAAAGACAAATTCTTGCCTCATACAGGGTAAGATCCTTATGGAAGGGAATTGTAAATGAGGCAATTTGTAGTTCATGTAAGTAGGAAGCTACCAAAGCTTTACGCAAACCTTTCAACTCATTTAATGACAGAAATGCCTAATCTTTTCTGGATGTGATTGTATGGGTTGTGATCATTAGTCAATGGGAGGAGAAAACTCTTGTTTCTGTAGTGAAAAAGAGGCCTCAGAATTTCTGAGACTGTTATATCTGTGCATGGTAACAACCAGTGCACCTTTTCTTCATGTGAAATATTCAGAAAACAGCCAGAAAACAGAGTGGTTTTAGTTCAGAGAAGGCTCTACCTGCTTGTGGGGTGTATTTCCTTGTCTCAGGAAATTCTAACATAATATAATATAATAAAATAAAAAAATACGTTTTATTGTGAAGATGGAACAAACCAGACAAAAGTGATGATCCTGAAGAGAGAAACTAGCAAATTGCTCCCCCACTTTCTCCAGGTTGTCTGAAAGAAAAGCCAGGGATCTGAAGCATCACTGTTTATTGAGTAGAAGTCCTTTTGTACTAAATCCTAAATCAGTGCCTTAATGCAGCAGGTCCTGCAGAGCCAGTGTCAAATGATGACAGCCAGCAAGCTTGCGTGGGAGCACAAACGCATGAATCTTTTTCTCTGGCATCCTTCTAAAGTGAGGATTGGCTTCTGCTCATAATTATTTTCTTTGGTGACAGCTCGGGGTTTGCAGTGGCAAGCAGAGGCAGGGGTGGTAACAGAGGAAGGCAGAGTGACAGGTGATTGCTCTGTTGTCTCCATGGTATCACTGAACCTTATCTTAGAGGTATCAAACAGTGTGCTTATGCCTTTCTGTAATCTGTACGGCTACCTGGCAGCACTAAGTATACCTTGTGTGGGTCCTACTTAATCACTGTCCTCTTTCCAGCTTATTTTGTATTAGGTTTTGTCTTTTCAGTCTGCTCTGCTTTTAATGAACCTGCACAAGTAATGGAAACACACATATAAATGACAGTACCTACCGATTTAAAATCCTGTCATTTTGTACTTAAGGAGATAGAATTCACACAAGTGTATTTTTAGAAGCATTTGATACTACCTTTTCAGGGCATGCTGTCCCATCCTTCCACTAATAATTGACATTAGGTTTTCAGGGTTAAAATGAAGCAATCTAGTTGTGAGGAAAACAGCTTTTAGCCCTCACCAGTTAGATCCCAGTTTAATCTGAGCCTTAGGCACCTCACTGGGCAATGTCTTTTGGGGCTCCTGCTTTAATTAACAGAGACGGAAGGACACCTGCAATTCAACTGACCTAAGCTCTGATTTAGCCTTTGGATTCATTTCTCCTCTCTTGATTCTGACTGACACAATATGAGTTACTGTGACGCAGTGGTGTAACTCCTGAATATATATCCTTAATCAGAAATGCCAGTGCCACTCATGTAGAAGTGGTTCTGCAAGTTATTAGACTTGTTTAATTAGCATGCATTTTTTTCAAGAAAATGCCAAAGGAAATGTTCAAGGTCTTAGCTGCACCTCAGGGCGGACTCAGTTTATGGCATTCCTCTTTGATCAAGAAGGCTAGATTTTTATATTTTATATATATGTATGTATGTATATTTTAGTTAAATCCTGGGACTCTTTGTGCTCTCTTGGTTCCAGGTCTTAGGTTAAAGCATACAAAAAGAGTGCCAAACTTGACAGGAGTTTTGCAAGGTCTGGGAATATGTTAGCACATCATGTAACTCCAAGTACAACCATCCATTGGTCTCCTTTAGGAGTGCCCTTTCGCATGAGTACAAATAAGATTATTATGGTCTGACATTTGTCGTTTCTGTCTTCTAAGATATTTGTGTGTCTAACTTCATATTTTCTACAGTGCTTACTTTAATGTTTTTGTGGATTTGCTGTTCATAAAGAAAAGGATCTCTAAAAACCTATGGCTACTTGTGTATCATAACCAGTATTTTCATAGCTTACATTTTAGTCAGTGTGGTCAGTTCAGTGGCTTTTCTGCCATTTTGTTTTTCCTGCAAGTGTATTTACTTATCACTTATTTATTGCAAAGATAATCCCTGAAAGGAGATGGGTATACAAGACATGTTTCTGAGAACCTCAGGAGTATGATGAAAGCACACAACATCGGATTTTTCTCCCAGCAAATCCCTTTGACAAGAAAGACTATCTAATACTCTGAAAATGCCCTGAAGAAAAATCTGAAAAAATGAAAGTGTGGTTGAGACCTGCATTCTTGTTTTTGCAAACGCCTGCAGCTTGGAACAGTGACATATTGGGAATTAGTTAAATAATTTTAGCTTCTAATAACAACTTTTTAATTTTGGTGGCAATGAAAAAGTAAAGTATGGCAAGAAAACCCACGATAAGAATGATACCTGGATAGGAGCTCTTTCTTATGCAGATTGTTGGGTGTCTAAAACATGTTCAAGCTCTAGCTTTCTTTCAGGTAAGACACTTCTGGGTGTCTCCCTGAGACAGCCATTGTAGTAGTCCTGGAGGTCTCTACCTCTGCAAATTTTGACTGAAATCAGTCACTCGTTTAGAAGTTGCAAATGAATGACATGGTGTGATTTCATAATCCTTATTTCTTATGAAAACAAAGCTAAAAAATCTTTGTATATGTGGTTAAGAGTGTTGAGCTAAAGATGTAAAATTTAATCCTTCCAGGTAAGGAAAGCTGTGCAACAGGAAGGCTTCAGCAGAAGGAAGCGAGGATATAGAGACATCAATGACATTGACATCAACATGAATGATCCTTTATTTACAAAGCAATGGTACCTGGTAAGTTTTTTGAAAGAAAATCACAGAAATCATAAATAATTTGCAATCCAGCCATTCTGTGCTGTTTTAACGTTTTGCAAGAATTCTTTCCCAATATGTCACAGGAACTTGGGAATGCTGAGTCCTGTTGTTTTAACTGTACCTCTTTCATGCTGGGAGGACCCAGCACATTTCAAGACCTAAATGTCATTTCAGTCAATGCAAAGATCCTTAGGAAGCTTAAAAGAGAACTGTGTTGATGTCCTTGGGACATTCCTGGTGTGCTGATGTGACCCCTAAAACTACATGTGAATCATGTCCTTGAGCTGTTGCCAGGTATAAGTTGTTACAGAATTATAACAAAAAATTCTAGTGTATTGACTAGAAAAAGCTGAGTGTTTTCTTATGGAAATGTTAATATTAATCTGTCAAAAGCAGAGCAGCTGATATTGATTAATTTTGGCTGAAGCCAATGTCAAAAGAAATTAATAATTTCCTAAATTGTTTCATTTTTAATGTGTCATATTTTATAGGGAGAAGTCTTATTCATAAAAGAAAAATTAAATTTGCATAGCAGTAGCCAGAATGAGATTTGTTTATTTAAAAAATTGATAAAATAATTTTGATCAATTATAATGTTGCAAGCTATTTATGATGAAATAGTAATTGTGGTAGAGCTGTATTAATTTAGTTAGGGTCTTTTTGCTGAAGAGTGGTGTTTCTAATTCTCTTTCCTTTTAATCCATTTCTTATATTTTATGAATCCATCCAATATATCTGGTTTTTTTTTTCGTAAAGATAAGTTTTCAGATAACTGAGGGCATATTAGCATGGATGAGACCTTATCATCAATGAGATATTAAACTAAAGTGTGGATTAATGCACTTATTTCTGATACTTCAATCAAAGCTATAAATTTTGTAGATTATAGAGTACACTAAAATATATTTTGAAATGAGATGTGTCTGACACAAAACTGAAAGTTCTGCAACAGCAGAAGTCATATTATTTTTCCTACGGAACTTGAGAAATTTGCAAATGAGTTTGGTGAACATGAGTAATGCCTGAAGATAGAAGGGATGTCCATACTGCAGGCCCATAAACACCCCCCCAAGGTTGGAAAGGACCCTTGGAGTTCATCTAGTGAACTTTCCTGCTG